ATAGAAACCTCTTTGAAGTGACTTTCTAGGGGAACAGAAGATGGACCCGGGAGATTTAGCCGCTAGCTGGCCAAACTCCGATTCCTCTTCATCACTGTCAACATTACTTGGGGAGATCCTGTTTTGGTAACCTCGACGCCGGAGAAGGAAAACATTGAAGTAGTAGCTTAACAAAGCTTCCTTGTCTTTTCTAGGCAAAAGCTTTAAAAGTTCGTCCCAGAAATATTTGTCCTGCGAAAGCGGGTTCAACTTCAACATGTCTTGAAATCTGTTTTGTTCTTCTTTCGTCCAACAAATCGCAACTTTCTCACCCATACTATCAAATTTCCATCCCTCAAAAGCTGAGCATAACTCGAGCTTCAGTCTTGAGCTTTTCTGAGAAACGTGAAACTTGACACATTCGACAGATCCAGGAAACTCGCAGCCACAGGAATCTTGTCTTCCTTTTCCAATACGGTCCCTTTCAATTAGTACTCCCTTATTTTCACATTTTTCCAAAGGCCAAATTCGGGTACCTAACCACGTGGAATCAATTTCATTAGTCTTCCCAGTGAATTCTGGTATATTAGCTTGAAATAGAGGGCCCAGAGGAATTCGTTTCCGACATTGATAGTTGCCCCATAAAGCAACAGAATACACCATCGAATCAGAATGTTTATCAGCAGGATACTCTGAACTCCGAGAATCAGACGATAATGACTCTGAGCCAATTCGAGCCTTCTTAAAAGAATCTTTTGCAGAAAGAAGCCTCTCGCTGCATCTTAATCTCTCAGATCCACGTTGACCATCATACATATTTGGATGCATATTTTGCTGCTTCTGCAAAGTACAGAAATTATTTAAATTAAGGATATGATGCATTTTTCAGAACCATGTTGGCCATCATACATATGCGCGTGGATATATCGTCCATATGTTCGGTCATAAACTGGCAAATTAGGATATGTAATGAAGTAACAAATAGAGAACTACAAGGCACATGCTAATGAGGGTATAAGCAGATGCCACCGGCTCTTTTACTGAACGCCCATTTAATAAGGCTTTTACTTTTTGTAGAAGAGTTTCTCGAGGAAGCTACCTTAGTCCAACTTCCTCCAAAAGCTCCTTTTCTAATAAGACAAAGTACTTTTACAAATTATCTAAACATATGCAAAAGCAATTTCTTAATTTCAGAACTAGCTTTTGACTTTTCAAAAGCGGTGCCAAATGGGCTCTAAACACACTCTAAGAGTCAACAAGTCATTCTTTGAGCTTGCTACTCTTATATTGACCAAATTAGATTTTTTAAATAATAATATAAACGAAACTTCCATTGAGCACTGTTATGGAAGAAATAACAGGTGCAAGTGCAACTAATTTTGTAGAAAAAGAAAGGGAACTTCAAAGGCAGAGGAAGCAAATTTCATTAAAAAAAAAAAAAAAAAAAAAAAAAAAAAAAAAAAAAAAAAAAAAAAAAAAAAAAAACCAATGTGTCAAGTGAAATGCACTCCCTAATTCTTTATAATAATAAAACCACAATGAATATACTATTACAGCGACAAAGAAAAATAAATACCTTTCCTGTGCCTGCCTCATTTTTTGCTTGCAGAACTCAAGAAACCCACAATGCTGAGTTCCAAGAATCCATGCTTTTCTTGTACTAGTTTTTTTCATTTTCACGCATGTTATTCAAATAAGTTTATTTCATATTGGCATGGCTTGAATATCAAACAAAAGGTTAAATCGCATTAGCCACAGACAAACTTTTAGATCTTAATAAACAGGTTGCCATATGTGTAATGAACTCAAATAAAAAATCCAAAAAAACATGTAATGGATTAAACGATGAATCTTTACTACCGGTAGCAATTAATTAATGTGAACCAAAAAATGAAAGAAAGACAAACACACGATTTTATAGTGGTTTACTTTGAATCTCTGCTGCAAAATTTCACTCTAACAATTAGAAGATTACAAAGGGTTTTTGAACTCATGCCTCTATGTTATGTTCTCTCAACACATGCAGAAAAGAGCTTTGCCTTAATACTCTTTATGTAAGAGGAAATATTAGGGTGCGCAAATTTTTTAAAGTACCCTTATTAGATCAAACCTCGTTAAGAGAAAAAGCTCCACACTTTCAACAACATGAACCCCTTAGTTAAGCAATTCAACATAATAAAATTATTCTCTACAAATTTTTAAGATTTTAAACTTTTGAATTTTAGTTCTGCTACTGCACCAACAGTTCTAGTTTCATTTATTGAAATCATTATCAAGCTAGTAGTGGCATACGATTGCATCATAATAGCAAGAAAAAAATTAGAGTTATTCATACAATGACATTGCTAAATCAAACAAACAAAATGATGAAAGAAATATATTGCCTTAGCTTACATAGCCTTAGCTTACATACACACAAGGGGATAGAGCATGATGGGCACCTGCGAAATAGTTTGTTGACCACTTGAATCGACCATCCTTTCCAAAAGCATCGCCTCACGAACCAAGAGAACCTGCTTCCATAGCTCCTCGCAGCCATAGTACTTCCACTTATGTCTTTCTGGTAAAGATCCAATTGCTGGATCACACGGATCCTTCGCGACTTTATTGATCCATTTGAACATGCCCAGGTAACATCCCCTATTCCTCTTCCTCCAAGTAGGGTCTCTGTCAACCGCAACAGAATTAATTTCCACATCATCGCCATTACCATCCTCAACTTCGCTTATCTCTTCATCGAAAATCTGAAAACTTTTATTTTCATATGCATTTTTAACATCTTCATCCAATTCCACTAAACCCTGACTCTCATCATCATTAAACAACCTTCTTGTACTTTTCTTCTTTTCATATGATACCCCGGATTGAGGTACTTTAAAATCTGATTCCAAGTCCATTGAATACTCACAATCTTCTTCACCTTCTTCAAACGCAATGTCATAACCTCATCTCTCTCACACTCGAGTTGCACAAATCCATTTCCTGCGCATCGAAAAACACTGGAGATAGCGGCCAATGACATAAAATCCAGGAAATTTCTATAAGAAAAACCTCGAGAAATTTATTTAAAAAAGCGCTTAAACTGTTTGTTCGTATTGTTTCGGCCGTTCTCTTCAATAGTTGTCAACCTTTTCGAGAAGGGCCCGGAATCAAACCAGGTCTCAATTTTTCGTACTTCTTGAATAGCTTTGAAGCTTTCTAGACCACAACCATCGACTATCTTCGACCACCCTGCCATTTTTTTGTATATTCAGACCCTAATTACACATCATCGCTTCATAAAATCAAGCATCCAAATATGAAAGCAACAGGCATACGCAAAATCTGCGTGTAAAAGTGTAGGTAAAGACGAAAAGAAGGAAGGAAAGGGTGTTAAAAGTTCTCTTGCGCCAAGTGAGCAAAAAGATGTTTTATCCTGTTCACCGGAGAATGGATCTGGGGTCTAGACTCTTTACTCTTGAAGACCCTTATTAGCTCTCTCTATCTCTCTCTAATATATACATAGAGAGCGAAAGACAAGAGAGCATGGATTTCTTTTGAATATTTGTACAGAAAAAGGCGGAAGTAATAAAAATGAAGAATTGTTAATGGGTTTGATGGGAGTACAGAAAGAGACGTACCAGTAATCGAATTTTGAGGGCTAGTTGGACTTTGGTGGGGTGTAGGCCAAAGGGACTTCTATGGATGACTTCAATTCTCTTTGACAGATGATGGTTGATCCTTGACTCTTTGTACCCTATTTTTTGGCCTTTTGTGTTTCCAATACCTGTACCTGTACTTTTAGGGGAGAGAGAGAGAGGAATAAATGTTGCAGAGAGCATACTGAGAGAGAGAGAGAGAGAGAGAGTAGCGTTTAGTGGAGAAATATTTCTAATTTTTAGAGTTGTCAAAGTGGAAGCATGTGGTGTTTTATATAATAGTTGTAAATATGTTGTTAATCATGGTTAAGTGACTAAGGTTTTTGAGGTTGTTGCTGAGTTGGGACAATGGCAAATTTGGAAATTTCCTAGAAGCTTAAGCCCTTTTTGATTTGGCTAAAAACCAAATTTTTAGTAAATTTTAATAAAAATTGATAAAGTATGTTGTTAAGAGTTGATAATAATCGTGGATAAATTTTTGGTAAAAATAAATTTTAAAAAATTGAGGTCACATGAGCACTAAGAACAGTTATATTTTGATCAAAGAAAAGAGGTTTTCTCATGAACATATTGGCCCATTACTTATTTATATCTTGAATCGAATCACGGATGTGCAATATATTCGATGTAATTGGAAAATATAATTAATAAAATTTTATTTTCTTTACTTTCTTAAGTGTTATGTAACCATAATAAATTTAACCCCTATTTGTCTATTTTTAAAACGAATCTCTTTATTTCTCATACTCATTTTCAATCATGTATTCATACAATAAAATATTATACACGTAAATTTAAAATTTTCCTTACTTTTTAATTACACATTCATAAAAAAATCACTATTTAAAACATAATTTTTTCTCTATAATGACAATCAAATAGGGACTTAGATTTTTATTGTTTATACTATCTAATAATATCTAATTTATCTCCTCAAACATGCTCAAAGTTGAATCTTCAACCATAAATTTTATATGGTTAATTATGTTGCCACCATAATTTTTGTTGTTACATCACTTTTTAAATGTTTCAATCTTTATTTATAGGCTCACTTATGTTTTTAGGTTCATCTCCTTTATTAATTATACTCTCGTTCATAATGACGGTTTCTATTCAAAAATTTGTTAGGAATGCGTTAAAAAAATTTATTTTTTCATCTTATTTTAAATAAAGCAAAAAATAAAAATTTTGAAAATCGGACAGAGACGTTTAGTTCGATCGAAAATGGTGAAACGGTCCAACAATCGTTGCGGTTGTAGCAAGGTATCCAATAATATAAAATTTTGGTTTTTGATTGAACTAGACACGATTTTAATGAGTTTTCCAATAAAGAAAGAAGCATAGATAAAATGTATGCAAACAAAGCTTCCCAAACTTGAACCAATTTATGTGAAGACCATCTATCGATTAATATGAACATATATGCAGAAGAAGACGCCAAAAAAATAAGATGCAAAAGTAGTATGAATATAAGAAGATGCAAAAAAAAATGTAGCAAGGTAGCATCTAGTAACAAGTCAATAACTTTCTCCACTCAAACTTTTACAAGCAATAATATAGAAGCAGCAGTACCCCTTCAAGCTTCATCAGTAAAAGTAGCAGCAAAACCTCTTTATCGACAAAACAAGCAAACGTTCATGGTTACAAAATGGGAAAGCCACAAATTGTAGTATTCCTCAATTCAACACACAGTCATTAGATTTAGCAAAATTAGTAACTCAAATATAAAGTCGAGCAACTTTTAATCATAAATCACGCAAAAATTGCATATAGTTCATGTTTCAACACAATATTTCTACCAGTTTATGAAAAAAGGAACAAGTACAGAAGTATAAAAATTTCATTCTAAACTCTCATTTGATAATAATTGGATCAATATCCCCTCTTAAAACGCATGATTCGGCCTCTGTACATAATGCAAATATCAAAATATTCATTAGTCTTTAATTATGATATTGACAAGCAATTAAAAAACAATATGCATATATCAAAATTGATAATAGAATATAAATTTTACTTTCTACGGCTTTCTATGAATCATCCAATACCCCTATCTCATCTAAATATTGACGAAGCATCGTAGGTTTCTTATTGCTATGCAACTAATTTTCGTGCATATTAAGGCACCAACATCGTTGCATCCAATGAACTCCTAAAGGAATAAAAAATGCAACCTTTCGTGGAAAATGCTGGCTTCAGAGCAATCGTGAATATTTGAATTGTTAATACATCTGGCAATTTGGAAAACAATTTTGTACCTGCTGCATTCAATTCCCACCAAAGTAATATGTTAAAATTAGGATCGGTCAAATCTTCACAACAATCAGAATGAACCAAATCATTCTTCACAGATTACATGATTAGCACAAGTCTAACTTAAATAGAAGGAATGGGTTTAGAAATACCTAAAGTGGGTTGCGAAGGATTTGGGCTACTACTTTTCGTAGTCTCCTTTGATGAAATTGATAGTGTAGTGACTGGAGTCGTCATTTCTTCGTAGCATACATATAACCTCTTTGTTGTTCATTGTCAACTACCATTGTATGACCCAATTCAAATGATCATTTGTAATTTGTACCGATGATTTGCTGTATCATGTAAATTGGTATTTTTTTTGAAAACTGTAGAATTTATAATTTAATAAAATTAATTTTTTAATTAAAAATTTAAAAAATGTTCTGTTTGATTTAGTGCAATTTTTGAAAATCGAAACTTACACCAAACAATTTTGAAATGGTTTAGTTTAGTTTTAGGGAAAAAATCGCGGGTCCATATGGATCGAAATCAATGACGTCAAACCAACTAGTTCGATTGGATTTGCTCTCCCACGATTTTCGTGTAACCCTAGTTATGACATATTTGGTCCATTTAGTTTCAATGTAACGAAATCACTGTTAAAACGTAATAACAAATGATTAACAAATATATACACACATTACTTTATCTTTTGAGGGCGGTTTGGAGCCCGGAGACTAAGTTGATCGCTGTTCTTGTAAGTGTTTCATCACTGGTGTACTGAATTTATCTGAACATTAGGGATAAACTAAATCATCTTATTTTATAGAGCATCTATAAGAATTTGCTGCTTAAATGTTTGTAATTTTATCAAATTTTGGATATTTTGAGTTGCTGGATCACCGGTTGTTTAATTGGCGCCAAGTGTAATTCAATCGATCACTCGTGAAGGAAAAACATTTTGTCAACTACTATTTTTACGTGATCTTCTACCTAGTTTACTAGTAATGGATTTGCTGTTGTGTTCAGTAGCAGCCAGTTACTAACAAGATTTCCTTTTGGCAGACATCTTCATTTTCCAACACATATTTAAGGTTCAATTTACAGAAAGGAAGATACAAATTGGCGGGAAGCAACCAACTGGTTTGTCTCTGATAAATATTTCTTTACTTCTCAGTGAGCAAGTTCCCTTCGCAGATAACAACTTGACTGTGTAAGTGCCCTTCTTGTTACATTACAGATGATTTTCAAAATTTTAATGTGTAGCTTTGAACTTCATTTCTTACATAATTGTATAGCTAGTGAATGTTGATGGATCAGCAATTTTAGTGAAAGATCTGAGTTGCATATAAACTTTGCTAAATGTAAGGAATGCCATTTCTATAGCAAACTAATCAGAAAGCAATCATTAAAATATTTTTAGAAATAAAGAGAGAAAACAGTATCACAGTCCGTAAAGGAAATGACATTAATTTGCAGATAGATATGGTTGGTAACGTTCATTGAACCAATACAGCTTGCGATGGTTGCTAATTAAGCATCACATGGTGACCTTAACAAGACTAAGAAATTATGGTCTGTATGTCCTTCGTTTCTTTCACATAGCATTATATTTTCATAACAGTGCCTTAAAAATGGTACTTTCTTTAATTGTTGAAACTAAATTGTAAATGGGGCAGAGCTTAATATAGAGATGGCAGGATGCTACCTATCTGGTTATAGCAAATTCTGTGAGATTGTGAGGGCTGAATATACAGCTTGAGGTTAGTGTTATCTTGTTAAAATTGTTGAACACTGCTAAATTCCATAACAGGAATCACAAGTAACGAAAATCAGAAAGCATTCAATGGGAAAAAACTAGGCTGACAACTATCTTACTAATTGTAAAATTAAAGTCCACTGCCTGATAAGTTTGTTCTGCCGATTTAAATTCTTGTTTCTCTTCATTTTTAACATCTAGATTCATGCTTTCTGCCACTTTTCTTACTATTGCTGGTTGAGTTGGATAAATATGTAGAGAAAAATGATGATAAAGTTTACTGTCTTTTTTTATGGGAATTTGACCTTGTACGGTATGTCATTATTTCTTTCCAGTCTCACTTTAATTTTTATTTCATTTATATGTGAATGGCAGGAGCAATATTATTTGTGATCACAAGCACGTGCTAATTGGACTTTCAGATGGGTCACTGTATAACATATCCTGGAAGGGTGAGGTATCATTGATTGTCATTATTTTTTGGAGATAAAAGAGTGATTTCACGAAGTTTCTACTTCTATCATCAAGCCGTCATGTTCTCTAGTTGAACTTTTCAGCAAGGGGGATGGTTTAAGTGTTCTGATTTCTTTCTCAGCTTGAAATAATATAAAGATCATTATAAATTTGAACTGAGGTAACCTGGCTCAACAAATTGCGAATTATTATATTGTTGTGTGGTGCTTTTTATCTTGATGTTGGGCTCTTCGGTAGAAATGCCACTAGCAAACTATTACATACTCTGGGTAATGGTCTTGCTTCTGGTGCAACACAAAGCGGCAGTGTCCAACCATTTCATCTCACAGAGGTTTACCGTGATCCAGCTTGAGTTCTCCATGCCATTGATGTTACTGTTTGTGCTATTTTCTGATGGACAACTCATGTTATGTTCTGTAAGTAAGAAAGGTCTAAAGCACGCAGACTCTGTTAAAGCTGAAAGGAGGATGGCCTATGGTAATGTGGTATGTGCAGCGGTTGCCTCGGCACCCAAATAGGTGTTATTGATTAGATAGTTGGACTAAAATGAGCTAAATCGATGAAATTATCATAATATAATATGTTGGGGAAATATTTTGAGAGAGTGGGAGATGAAACACCAAAAACCAAATCAATGAAACCGGAACAAGAAATAAGGCAGAAAGTTGAACGAAGAAACTATGAAAAACCCAGTAAATGGAGGCTTAAACACAAATATGATACACTGTCTTAGAGTGATATTTGTCCTCTCTTCTCGATCTTGAGATATGCTTACGCGATACACTAACAGATAGCTATGAGGATTAATCAAACCTTGGAGTTTAATCACCAAGCAAAGATGAAGAACCTATAAGAACAATAAGACTTCGAAGAATTTTTGAAATTTGGAAGTATGTAATTGATTATAATGTTAATCCTCATTAGTGTCTATCAAGTAACATCTATTTATATAGATAGAAACACTCAGTTAAACATCAAGTAAGCATCTATTTATATGTAATTGATTATAATGTTAATCCTCGTTAGTTTCTATCAAGTAACATCAAGTAAGCATCGGTGGTGTTAAACATCAATTTAGGTGTCAGCGTATTATATATTCTAATTAGATTATAATTTCTTGTATTTAATTGAACATTTAATTTAATGCGACTAGTGCTGCAACTTAGACTAATATGGTGCTAAATAGCATTACTCTTATTTTTATCATTTGAACAATTTCCAACATAATAAGGATCATCGGTGGTGATTTTCTATGCACAAAAAGGACCATTATAGTTTATTCAACAAACAGAAATCATATTATTCACACATGGGGGGGGTATCTCCATCTTCCCACTTACAGTCATATGTCAAAAGCTCAGCCAACCAGAAGAAAGATGAAAGGACAAAAATGCAAGAAAATATAACAATGTATTCACTGATATAGAACGAGATAATTTGAATTTGAAACCCCTTTTCTGTGGCATCTGCTTATTCGTCACCAACTGAAGCTGATGGATTCAAAATGAAGATTAGCTGCCAAACCAGATGAACATATATTTGCAACCTCGTGTCTCATTTTCTTAGGTCCACAAACAAGAACACCAACACTTGATTCTTTGCGCTCAAACAAAATTCCTGCAAACAAAGTAAAGATTGTAGGGTGAAGTTTCATAGAGTTTTTAACTTGAAATTGGATTAGGCCGGCTCTTATATGATCATAAATGTTGGAAGTTTATTTTCAAGTTGACGATGATTGTTAGTAGGTAGTCGATACAGCTATGTTTCTGGATGGTTGTTGTTAGCTTGTGGTTGATAGGTAATAAATAGCGAAAGGAAAAAAAAAATTGCGCAAAGTCGTAGTATGTTTGGTATATTAAACTGATTATTGTAATGCTAAGTTAAGAATTTATTTACAAAATAACTAACTTTTTTATCTTAAAAGTAAGAAGTTCGAGTCTCTCTAGATATAGCCTCACGTTTCCTCCTACAAGCAATAAAAATCAGTTTCTAAACTTACAATAAACATCAAAATGAACTTAAAGAGTTAATATAACTTACTCTTGAGGTCTGGCCTTTCACCATAATGCACATTAACTGTCTGAAGAAATGCCTGTTGGGGGGAGCTTTCAAGTTCTCTATCTGCATTATAAATCAATGAGTTTGGTGATGCTGTTGGAGATGCTCCTTCCATGTTCTGAATCTGTATACTTTCCTTTGCATTTTTACTTTTGTTCCAAAGAAAGGCTGTAGTGGCTGTGATGATTATACATACACATATGAATAGTATGTTCAGCTCAGATTTCTTAGCAGACGAATAGATCTTATTTGTATTATGATCGATCGGGAAAATGTAGTATCTGGTCAAAATCCCGATGAAAATAAGGTATATGATGAATGACGACGAGATTATAGAACCAAGACAGAGCCAACTGTTTCGGCCTAAGATTGGAGTGATGGCTGCATCTGATGGACTAGGTTTGAACCACAATGTCTGAATATTCTTCTTTTGTTGTGCTGTGGGTTGTTTTTCTCTTGTTACAAATGCCTCAATTTGGACAGAGAGATTGGAAAGTTGTGATGGGGCACCAGATATTGGGAGAATGAGGTCTAACATGGTAAGGTCTGAAGAGTTCTTGAATGAACTGATTAGAAGAATTTCTGGGGTTTTGGATTTCAGTGTTTCACTTGCATAAATGAGCTCCCTGATGATAGAGATAAAAGGGGTTAGGCCACTGCCTCCACTCACCATCACTAGTAAGTCATGCCTGCACCAAAATATGATTCATCAATCCACCAAATTTTAACATTTTAGAAGTAATACTCTGTTGAGTTTACCACTGTATCTAAAAATCTATGTTGTATTTATATCTCGACTCTTTCACTTGTGTGGGGTGGACCAAAACTAAACGACCTTGTTTTGCTTACACACATCGATATAATATTCCTCTGTTTTTGTGAAAGTCCAACATAAGGAATTCTTAAATGGTTAGCGACGGCCCTAAACCTATGATTTTTGTGTCTCAAATACTATGCTGAAAGATGACTTCAGTTAAAAGTTCAAGCTATTACATTGTCGAGACATTCAACAAGCTAAAAATTCATTCCATACCTTAGAAAATTCGTCGAAGTAGGCCCATAAGGCCCTTCAATAGAAACATCAAGCCTTTCAACAGAAGAAGGTGATGATAGCAATTGGTAGAGTTTGTTGGACCAACTTCCTTCACCTTTGATGATAACACTCAGCTTCTCAGCTTCCAAGTTACTGTTGGAACTAATTGTAAAGGGATGCCATTGCAGCTTAGAAATGCTAGGCACATTCATAAACAAGACGCTTGTTGGAGGGTAAATCAGCCCTAAAAGAAGAACAAAACCTTGTTATATAATTGAAAAGTGGATAGCACATATTGATTTAATGACATGTATCGGGTTAAACATACAGGTTATCACTATACTTTGAATGAAATTTCTCATGAGTTTGTATTTTACGATCATTGAACCCTACTTTTGTTGCAATTTGGACATTCCATCTATGTCCATTAGTTCGACCAACAAGAAATGTCACGTGGCCCAGTAGGTTGTCACATGACTTTTCTGTTAGTCAAACTACAGGATGTAGATCAAATAACTTGTAAAATCGATTTAAATTTAGTGACCAACATGGAAATGCTTTATATCTAATATCAATATAAATGTGTGCATTTTTGTTCTATACCTGTGCTTTTTGAGAAGTTGAGCTCAATCGTCTCACAAGTCAAAATACGGGCAGAGACCAAGCGTACACTTTGCCGGGATTGTAAGAATCTCAGGTATCGATCGATCATGAAAAGATAGAAACCCGGAAGCATAACGAAGGCATAACTAATGCCAACATGAAGCACAAAGAAGAAGACGAAGAGAATGTACAAATGATGAGTGTAAAAGAAGAGCTCAAACATTTTTCTCCTTATCTTAGGGTATGTTGTAGCCCATAACACTAATCCAGATAGTAAAGCCAACTCTCCAGCCACATGGGAAACTCCTGTATTATCCCATTTCAGCATCTGAATTTACAAAAAAAATAATTATTACATATAATTAAAATGTAAATTAATTAATTTCAAGAATAAGAATAAAAAGTATTCTTGATTGTAATTAAATTACCTCTGATATATTGTGTGTAACAGCCCAGTAGATAATGTAGGATAAACCATGAGCAGTGAAGAGTGTCATGACAATATGGCCTAGCCAAATATGGTACTTGACACTAGCCTCGGAGGTGAGACCAAAAAGTGGTAGCAACGATGAGCCACGAGTCACCGGAAAGAAGAGAAAACTCAGACATACGTTACCGATTAGACCTAGTCGGAGAGCTGCAGTCTCCAACTTCACTTCCCACCTGTCATAATTCATCATCATGGTTACATCGAACTTTTAATAATAATATGGCCGATTATGTTTTTTTTTATCGAATGACCAGAGCGTAAAGTGTTCATAAAAGTGTGACCGTGTGACTTCAATAAATAATATTGTCAAGTAGACCACTTCTTCGAAAACTTAAATTTGAAATTCTCTACAAATTCTTTTTCACTAACGTGTCCAGTTATCGCTACATGTGATCGAAAAAAAAAATCGAAACGAACAATTAATTTATAAAAAATTGCCTACACTTTCTCCCCACTATTTGCAGCTGACTGAGGTGTGATAGTAGCAAAGCCAATACGCAAATACGTAGCAAAAGACCAAACAAGAAGTGCTATGAACATGAGAAAGAAAGCCAGTTCAATCCTTGATACCACTCCAAGTCCTTTCATTATTACAGGCCTCCGCAATATAGCCAATCTGTGCTTTCCATTCCTGCAGTTCGTAATTCAAAATTAAAAGTAAATATATTATACAGTTCAATTGTGTTCAGTACTGTCTTTCTTCTTCTGAGCATGCTTATAATCATTAGATGGTAGAATATTATAAATATTTAGTAAGGAAGATCGAGCAGCAATCATAGTATCAAAAAAGAAGAAAAAAATGTAATATTAATATGGTTTATTAGCATGTACCAAACATGACCAATGGTGTACTAGAACTGTATTTTAGAATGAGTTAAATTTTAAAGTAGAATTGGAGTTGTACGTTTGAGATATTCTATGTGCCCATTTGAGAGGGCTTCTACTTCTTGTAGGAGTGTTTCTTCGTAAAGTTATCTTACGCTAGTTTTATCTAAGAGCTCTTGCACCCAAACGAAGTATTTTTTAAAAATTATTCTAACATGTTTAAAAACAACTTCTTAATCTTAGAATCAGCTTTCGACTTTTCAAAAACCTACCAAACGAGCCCTTTTTCTGCCAATTTTACGAAGCAAAACAACAAAAAACCGAAGATTTGTCAAAAACATAGGGCAGCCCAACCCACTTTTTTACACCGGGATTTGCTCTGGATAGGAAATATTAGACACAACCAAAATGTATATTAAAACTTCTTTTTCATTTTTTATTATGATTTATTGATTTAACATTATCTGATTTAATATGATTTATTGATTTAACATTATCTGATACTTCAACCAAACGTGACATTATTATTTTATGGCTCACGTACCCTTTTAAATGATTATCCCTTGATTTCTGTGCTAAATGGAGATATACACAGCCCATGACAGCCATGAATAGAATAGGGAACATGAAGATCAAAAATGTTACTCCTGCAAACACAAATGATAGTTAGTATAAATGATATTAATGGGAGTAAATGAAGGAAAAAAAAAAATATATATATATATATATATGTATGTATGTTTTTTTATGGCTTCGTATTTTGTATTGCACTTCAAAAATAATTTCTTAAAACTGATTGTCCATATATAAAGTCCGGTTGATGTATATTTTTTCAGAATAAATTTTGTGAAAAGGGGGTTTTTTTTTTTTTTTTGAGAATATGTGTTTAAAAAGTAGTGAAAAGTTATGATCTACGTGCAAAATTATTATACAAAAAGAATGCGTGATTGAAAATGAGTTTAAATAAAATGAAATTTAAATGTTAATTTCTCAACCTAGTGCAATCCTCCTTAACTAGATCAACCATATACGAATAGTGAAGTATATCTGGGCATGTATACGAGTGTCCACCTATTTTATCTATATAAGAATGATCTCTTAAGTACAAGTATTCAACTTATGTTAAGCACCAGTGAATGTTCCATGTCATCAGTGCTTAATATAAGTTAAACACCGATACTTAGGAAATCATATATGTTTATCTATAATCTATAATTTATATTAAAGTATTACGTCGAGGGAGAATTATTTTTTGGACGATTTTAACCCTCTACAATTCAATTATTTTAATAATACCTTACTTTTCATTTTTCAATATGTAATAAATACTAATAATTATTCTTGTTTAAGAAATTTGTGTTATTAATTCTCAATTAATTAATATTCACATTAATCTAGATTCAATGAATTTTCACTTGATGAATATTAAATTATATGAATCTGGAGTTATTATAGATTAATGTATTCATATTCATGTATTTATAAATTTTAATGGGTGTTTAAATTTATGTATTAACAATTAATTTTTATGTATCACATATAAAAAGATTGCTCATATTTCATCAATACAAAAAAATTTGAATCATAGAAATTAAGTTTTAAGAGTACAATTTGAGTACAATTTTATTTTCTTAAATTTCTATACTAAATTTTATTTTCTTTAATTCGTCCGAAACTCATCAAATCCTTCAACAAATGGGTACGAAATATTACTTTTACATCACATATAAAGTATTTTAGAATAACGTGAAATACATGTTTAACTTTGACTAGCTCATATAAATGTACTTGACTATTCTCTCATACAAAATAATTACTTTTTTTTCCTTTATTAAACTGTTCAATATTATTTAATTTTTCTCACCAAACATGCGATAAAAGATTAGTACATACCAGATGCTCCAAAATAGGTGGGGCTGGATTTTAGTCGAATGTCCGGCAACCAATGTTGTCTATAAACTTTTGTAGGCATCATGACCCATATCAAGAGATGTCCAGCGAGCACGACCATCACTAAAGCCAGTATCGCCGCCTTGAAGGGGCTGTTTCCGCCGTGAGAAGGTGGTTGTGCATCCATCTCTTTCTCTGATGTTTCCAACTTTTAGAGAGAGAGAACTGATTGAAATATGCGAGAATGTTAAGGAAGTGACACTATATATAGAAAGGAATATATGGAATGTGACACTTGAGAAAAAATAAATAATGTGTAAACTTAGCAAATGGATTAAAAATTTCGATAAAATTGCACCATTGGTTCTTAAAGTATTGTTTGAATAGTAAGTTAGTTCGTGGTAAAAAAAATCAATTGTTCTCTAACATTCTGCTATAGTTATATGATTTATCTACATATGTACTTGGCCAATGGATTAAAAAAATTCGAGAAAATAGCAACATTGTTTTCCTTAGCGTAATTTGTTAGTTGTCAAATTATTTCTCAATCGTTCATATCTTTGTAGGTGGTGGTTGTGAAAAAACACGTGACTTCAAATTTTTTAAACATCATCAAAGTTGGAAAACAAATATTTCTTTCATTAAGTTGAATACATAGAAATTTAGTCCTCGTTTAGCATAGCTTAAAAAATTGATAAACAAATTTAGTTCAAAGTCAATAATTGATTTTAATCATACATTTCAAGGAACTCACAACTTTTATCAACTTCTCAACTACATATTTCATTAGTAGTAAAATTTTATTTTTAATTACACCGAATAGGGGCTTAATATACTTTTGGACGGTTTCAGTTAGTTACGAACTTATTCTACCATTATAATGAAATCAAGATTGGGGATCAACTTGCTCTTTATACGTATTGAGATTAAATTTACTAGTAAAATAGTTTGGAGATCAATAGTGCAATTTTTTCAAAAGTTTATGAAAAAGCATGACCCTCCCCATACCAAGTACATATTTAATCCTAAATGTACATTGAAAATGGAGAAGAAGAGATTATTCACGGGTCAACCATTTGGGCCAACCCGGATCAACTGGATGGGTTTCAATGCATGGTTCATGCAACCATTTGTACGTCATACAATAGCTTCAACAGCAATCCTTCCCTTTAATTACCCCAATTTGCATTTGAACCACTTAAGGTGGGAAACAAAATGGTTGGTACGTTGAATAGGACTAATTTAAATTGTATTAAAAGGGATAAATTGATTAAAATATATTGTACTATCAGGTTATGTAACACTTAATACATAACACGAAATTAAAGAATCGTAAGTGGTGCGGTGTTTGGATATAGTCGGAATATGATATAAAAGGTTAATAGCTTTAAAGAAGAGATCGATCTTCAACGTCGATATAATTGATTTGAGACGGTGGAGTTTTGAATTTTTAAGATAAACTAGTTTCTTGAAAGTAATCGACAGGGGCAGACCAAGGGGAGTCCTAGGGTCACGTGACCCTCCAACTTTTGAGAATTTTTTTTTTTAGATAAATCATATTTGGTATCGATTAAAATTTTAATTTTAATTTAAATCAATGTTAATAAACAATTTTAATAACATATTTCATGAAATTCTTAACTTTTTTAACTTTTATCAAAATTTACTAAAAATTTGATTTTAATTCCCACCAAATAGGAGCAAAATCACAATAAATTTGATTTTTTCTTCTTCTCTTATTCTCTCACTCACACCTTTTACCAAAATCTTACCATTTCTAAATTTTTAAAATTTGTTTATAATTTTTCTACAAATTTTCAATTAATTAGAACCTAAATTTGCATTTTCTCCTATCATATTTGTGTACACAGTACATAGAATATGTCTGAACCGATTATATTCAATTTAACGAATTGTTTTTATTTGATTGAATATTTATTTTTTCCTTTCGATCACTTGAATTGACTGTTTGAAATCAAATTAGTGAAAATGATGAGCAAAATATTAATGAAAAAATATTTTTTAAATGTAAATTTGCATTTTTCTCGGATAAAATATAAATCATTCAAAAATCAATAACAAAGTATTCAATTTGTACAGTGTTTTATTGTGGCCCCTAGTAATTGATTAAAACTATTGTCAAATATCAGGGTATAAAACTAGTTTTTTTATATGATTCAAACAGAAATTATATACACACGAAATGCTCAAAAAACTGAAAAAGGCAGATCCCTTATTTATGTTTATTTGTTTTTTTCCCAAACAGAAAGTGTGCATTAATTATAACCATTTGACTTTATACAAAATTTAAATATGTTATATGCATGCAATTCATGGCGTGCCATCTTGTGTTCGTGTTTATGGTGTTCTTGTTCTGTGTGTGTCTACACGTGCCAGGCACACTATTTGTTTTATTTTTTTTTTTTTTTTTCCTCCAAATAAGAAAAAGGAAGATTGCATCATTTCTATTTATTTTTTAATTCCACTCTTCCTTGAATAAGACTCGAACTTATTCGAACTCGAATAACTTATTTGGTAAAACTTCGCTCTTATCCTCAAGCTGGGTCCTGTTCTCAAGATTGCACGATTTTATCATTCTTTTTTCTTTTTGTTTTGCTTTTTAAGTTAATTAACTTGATAAAAAATTAAGTCAAAGTCAACAATTAATTTTAAATATATTTCATAGATCCGTAACTTTTATCAGTTTTTCAACCACATATTTCATCATTTTTATCAAAAATTAATAAAAATCTGATTTTTAGCAAAATTAAAATGGGATATATTGTTTTTCGAGAAATTCTTACTCAACGAATTGAGGAAGTATTTTTAATCCTCCGGCAACAATCAAAAAATTGATTAAAATCTTGAGCAAGAATTGAGGATAGAATTCTTGCTCAAGGTCATTGTGTGCACCGCACGAGTCTTTAAAAGATTCTTAGACGGTTCCATCCTAAGGGTGTGTTTGATTACAAATAGGAAAATTACATGGAAAGAAAATATTTTATAGGCAATTAAATTGCCTATAAAATATTTCCATGGAAATTGTCAATTATAGTTGTTTGATTGACCTGATTTTCTACCTAGAAAATATTGCATTTTTCCATCTTTTGGTATTTGATAGCCACTATTTTTCATGAAAATAATCAGTTTTTCCGACTTTAGTTGTTTGACAACCATTATTTTCTATGGAAATTATCTTTTTTTCTATGGAAATTGTCATTTTTTCCATGACAATTAGTCAGTCAATTTTGAGCAAGAATTGAGGAAAGAATTCTTGCTCAAGGTCATCGTGTGCACGCACGAGTCTTTAAAAGATTCTTAGACGGTTCCATCCTAAGGGTGCTTTTGATTACAGGTAAAAAAATTACATGGAAAGAAAATATTTTCTAGGCAATTAAATTACCTAAAAATTATTTCCATGGGAATTGTCAATTATAGTTGTTTGATTGACCTGATTTTTTACCTAGAGAATATTGCATTTTTCCGTCTTTTGGTGTTTGATAACCACTATTTTCCATGAAAATAATCAGTTTTTCCGACTTTAATTGTTTGACAACCATTATTTTCTATAGAAATGATCTCTTTTTCTATGGAAATTATCATTTTTTTCATGACAATTAGTCAGTCAATTTTTTGACGTACTAAGTAATGGTCCCTTCACAATTAAATATATTGAGTAATATCTCTTATTATGATTTTTTTTTTTTGAAGAAGTCGTATTTTGAAAATAAAGTTATCGAAAAAAATAAAATTTATAACAATAAGGAAAACAAACTCACCAATTCAAATTTATACTCATGTACGAGAATTAATTCTTTTCGTTCCAATAAAAAATGATTATGAGATAATCAAATAAACAATAATGAGATTATGTCCAGCATAGAATAGAAGAACAAAAAGTAAAATTAAAAAACAAAAAAATCTCTATCAAAAGTGAGTGGCAATTCAAACTAATATGAATATCATACTTTTACATATGTTTGTTGAATTATCCAATCATGCCATCTTAAAGTAGTGGAGACGGATC